AATCTCTTGAGCTGAAGCTTCTCCTGCTGCATCCAGGTTTGCTCAGCATAGCCCATAAAAAAGTAGCTGCCATGAACATGTGGACTGATCTGTGTAGTGATGCGCGAATCATGAACGAATCGTTCAATACTCGAGAATCACTTTACTGACTCATGAATCATGATTCACAAGCTCAACTGACTCATCCATGTTGCTCAGAGGCGGAGCCAGACATTTGAAACACCCGGGGCTTAGCCCTAAAGGGTGGTATGCATGTGGGATTTTTTTCTTTTCTTTTTTTTGGGGGGGGGGGGGGGGGGGGTAGAAATGACTGAGATCAATAGGCTCTGCTTTGAGTTTTGTTCAAAAAAGAATGACTTCATATAGGAAAAAATATATCAATATATCACACCTTAAGCTAGGTTTTTAATTAAGCAGCAAGGCAGAACAAAGTCAGGGCTGTATCAAGACACGAGGACTAAACCCCAATTCAACCAGACCCAGAACTGATCCGGTATTAAAACAGGACTACAACAGTTCAAAATCAGGACTACTGAGGACTTAACCAAGACAGAATCAGAAACAGAACTAGATGATAGTAGCACTACAAATCATCATAGACCTGCACTACACTTATTTTTTAATTCTACCAAAGTACACTATTTAGACTGAGAAAGGTTTATATAATTATTTAGCCTTGTTGTGCAAACAAGCCTGCATAACTTAATAAATATAGAATTTGAAAAATAACAAACCTAAAAAGAAACACTAGGTACGAGATACATGAGGACCTATGATACGGTGATACTTTTGGTAAACAACCATTTGACTAACATGTGTGTCTCACCTGCTCTTGTTCATCTCTGCTCCTCTCTCTCCCTCTGACAATCAAGCCAAACACCAACATCATCAAATATACAGTTGAAACCAGATATTTATGTGCTCTTCAGATAAAAACACTTTTTTAATTGTAACATCAAATCAGACAAAATGTTTATTTTTTTAGATTGATAAATATAAAAAACATAGTTGTTAACCCTGGATGGCCCTTAAAAATGCATCCCTTTAGAGCCCTGGGGACCATAAATGGTCCCGCCCCAAAAGTGCAATAAAAAGATTATATATTCATATTTTTTTCCACTTTAAATTGGTCAGTCTTTTAAAACTACTTCTCCCTGAAATATTCATATAAAGTTTTAATTATATTTTCGTTGTTTTAACCCTTTAAATCCCAGTTTTATTACATGAGCGCTCTGTTTTTTAGCCCCAAAAAACAAAAAACTAAATATTTTCCAAAAAAAACATTTGAAGTAATATTTGTTTGTTATTATAATTAGGCCTTTAGATGGACTAAAGATTGGCACCAACAGTCATTTCGATCGCCTTTTATTTATTTTTTCAGGACCAGAAAATGGTCTCCAGGCGGCAAATGCTCCTCCTCTAGGCTGAAATAAGTGCATGTTGCCGGGGTAAGTCGCAACGATCACCGGGGCACGATCACCGGGGACTGCTTTTTCCAGCCCACACGTCCGATACCACGTGACAACAAATACGTCATTTCCTGTTGACTAAAAAAAAAATGCACCCTCTCATGGTCCTAGGGACCAAAAAATGGTCCCGCACGATCAGCGGGCGAAGCCGCTGCTGCACGCCGGAAATGAGGCTTCATTTCCCGCAGGTCTGTCCAAGCAGCCCGCTGTTTTCCAGCAGGGATCAAATGTGGAGCAAGGGCGCCACCCGGTGGACAAATAAAAAAATTACAACTCTACGGCTCATAGACCAAAACGAAACGGAAACATAAGTAATCACCAAGACATTAACGGTAATAATTCTGCAGTGAAAAATAGCGTTTATAATGGAAGTCAATGGGCCAAAAATGGTCCCTAGGGCTCTAAGAGGATGTGTATTGTTAGCTTAGCCACTGAAGCTAATTTAAGGAAGTCAGACTTGAATTTTGAAATGAAATTATGCCAAACTTTTTTTTAGAGAATTTGGCTATATTCCATTCAACACAGTGCAAATGGCTTGTAACTGAAAAACTAAAGGGACCAAAAATGGTCCCAGGGCCAAAGAAGGGTTTAACTTTAAGAGTAAAGAGAGAAATTATCTGTATTTCTTAATTGCAAATGGCACCAAATTGTATTCAAAATTGAGCCACACTTATGGAGCTCCACAGTTCTTTTCCTGGTGTTTTGGTTGACATCTCTTGATTTTCCCATGTCACAGAAACAGGCTCTGTGTTTTTCCTTATATGCATCCACAGCTGTGCCACCAATTTACTCACATGGACTCTACTAACCTATCGGAAGCTTCTTCAGCTCAGAATGGAATCATCTGGAGTTTCTTATTAATTAACAATAAACTTAGTGTATATGTGCTCCTAAATTTGATGAAAGTGATTAAAGTAGACAGCTCCCTCTTTTTATTCTGACATTTAACTAATTCAAAAGATATTTCAACATTTATTTATCTAAAACAAAAGTTTACTCTAAATTGATGTTTAACAGTAAAAAAAAGTTTTTATGTTTTCTCCATAAAGTGTATGTAAATATCTGGTTTAAACTGTGAATATACTGCTGTGTATTGAAATTCCTCTTGTTTTGCATAGAAATATACTAAACAACATCCGAAGCATAATATATAAAATAACATCTACCTGAGTTTTTTCTTTGAAAGAAGCTCCTTATGTCCATTGTTGTGTTCATCAGTACACAACTGAAACCGATTTAGAGAGTTTGTTTAGCTGTGGAGGGTAACAACTGAAAATATGAAATGTAAGCTAAGACTCTAAAAAATCAGCATTGCTGTTCGGCTTTTTATTTATCCATTTGTTGATTCACTCGAAGAGCAAGTAACGCAACCAAGTGATCAGTTTGATATCAATCTTTTGTGATACACCGTCATATTTACATTATTAGTTCAGTACGAATGATTTGCTTTGGTACCTGGTCAAACTTAAGCTCTCCTCTGTCTGCAGCAAACTCGCAGGCAGCAGCTTCTCCGCCCTCGCTCACATGGGTGCTGTGCTCAGTCGTAAAAGTGCAAGACCGGTCTCGAGACATCCAACTCTACTGGCTTCATGGACAGATAGAGCTGGGTGTCATCTGCATAGCAGTGAAAATGTATGCTATGTCTTCTAATGATGCTGCCTAAGGGAAGCATGTATAATGTAAACAGAATTTTAGAAATGTTTTTGCTCTTTTTTGCTCTATAAAATAGTTTGTTTGTTTTTTTTAGAATCATTCATCTTAGCAGTAGGATTTACATGAAAAGAGAAACAAATTAAATTTGAGTGAAAATGTACATTTTTTGCACTCTCTGGTCGACTGACTCAGTGAATCAAATGACTCAAAAAATCGATTCACTTTGGTGAGTGACTCATTAAAACTCGAATCAGTAAAAAGAATCAAATTTACCATCACTAGATCTGTGTGCGGAAGGAGGAAAGCAGTGACATGGCATTTTCAAACCATATAATTTTATCATTCCGCTGAATGGATCCTGCCCTCTGTCCGTTTCTCTACAGAGTAAATGTACTTAGTTACATTCTACCACTAAAAAGCAAAATTTTCAGCTTACTTAGTTTTTCTTATTCAAGCAAACTCAAATAAACTGAGTTGAGTCAGTTAATTAAATAAATATTTATTACACATGTAATTAATTAATTACACATTAATTAACTGACAAAGTCAAATGGACTAATCATGCATGCAACTGTGTCACTATATATCAGCATTAACAGGACCTCAGTTTGGTATTTCAGAAAGTTGCTGATCTCAGACCTGCACAGCTTCTATTTTCAACACTGAATACACTCAGCTGCATGAGGACATGATGTTTTTTTTGTTTGTTTGGGTTTTTTTTTTTTTTTTTGGGGGGGGGGGGGGGGGGGGGTTGATACAATTAAATAATACCTGATGGAGGTCAAAGGTTGAAGGTCACTTGTATATTGAACTAAAAACTTCTGATCTGGAATTCTTTCATAGTGTTTTTTGTTAATAGTGTGTTATTTATCAGTAATCCAGAGTCATCCATACCAGAGTAACCAGAGAGGATACTATCTATTTAAATATATAACTTCCTACAGGACTGAATATATCTTTATGTAAAAGTCCGGAGCCTCTGAGGATTATCTAAGTACTTCTACCATGACACAAACCAAAGGCCTCCATCACAGTGTTCATGAAATGCTGAGATTAACCATCTTCTGGGGCAGGTCTACAGTGGAGTGCTGAAGATTTCCCTGTGAGGGAGCTGGTGGTGATGAACAGGAGTTTCTCCTTGATCCCTGCAACGAGCTTTAGTCTTCCTGATGTTTCTGAAATGAAGCCTCTCTCATGGGTCAACAGAACTTCTGGCACAGGACAGCTGTGATGAAATAAAAGGACCTCTGGACCCAGGAAACCAGCCTGGTCCTGATGGTCTTCCTCACTAGTTTCCCCCCAGGGTGAATGTAGCTGTCTATACATTTTTTTGAGGAATTCTACACATGTTATTGCTTTTGCGAAGAAGGTCATACGGTTATAAAATATCAGAAAATATATCCTCTGTGCATTTTTTTTCTTTTACATGTTCTATTTGTTATATACTTTGGAGTTAATTATTTATTTAGTATTTGGGCAGACATGTCCTCTGTTTGATTGTTATTGAGAAGGAGATCTTGCTAGATTTGTGGTTCTTTGTCTGTTTTAAAATACAATTGTTTAATTATTCTCTCGGCACGCATATACGAACCCCTCCAAAGCACCTCCAAAATTCAGTTTGACACACAAGCTTGTGGCCTCTAAGAGGACTTCTTTTAATTCTGCTGATGCTTCTAAGCTATTAAAAATGAATTATTAGTTTTTGTAGATGTATTCAATGTAGTACGTTGAACCAAGAGGGGAAAAATGTGGTTTAATGTCAAAAGAGTTGGTCTGAGCTGCTTCCTGGTGGATTTCTCCATGAGAAAATATGAAATATGTCACTTTATCTGCAATCGATACATAGATCGATAGATAGATAGTCTGAAGCCACAAGGATCAGGGTAAAAGAAAAAACTTTATTGTCCTCAGACTTCCAGACAATACAAAGCACTTGGTCAGTTATGTTGTAGTAAATCCACACTGTTCACCACAACAGAGCAAAAGCCTTGATCACCACTTTCCTCCTTGTAAAGACAAATTTGAAAACTACACATTAAAATGTTTCAGACCAGAAACAGTTCAGACATAGTTTTACTGATCTGTTATGAAGTAATGCTGTTTAGATTAGAAATCACATTTCTTTGAATGACTAAACTATGAGATTAAATCCCAGCGTTGCTTTAATCTTTGATATGACTGTGATTACAAAACTAATCAAGAAGTTGAAATATTAATGTGAAATTATTGTGTTCTATGATTATTGATTAATCCTTCATTAATTGATAGATTGTGTAATAATGGCAGTTATTAGTAATGCTGGCTCTCTTGCATTGAACTCTTCAGACTGCGACGACGGCCTTGCCGGTGTTTTCTCCCTGCAGCATCCCCATAAAAGCAGCCGGCATGTTTTCAAAGCCTTTTGTGACGTGCTCCCGACACTGCAGTTTGCCCTGTGGACGCACAATACACAGATCACAAATACAATACATCACAACAGAAACACAGGTAACTGATGTTTATATCTTTTTCTCTTTGATAAAGGACTAAATAGCTGACCTCTTTCACCCACGCCAACAGTCTCTTGAGGGTCTCATGGTTCTTGTGCTGCCACCTGCTGTATATGAAGCCCTCCATCTTCAGCTGTTTCAGGATCACAGTGAAATAGGAGTACGGCCCTAAAATACAGATCATTCAAGAGAAAAATGAAACAATGAAACTACAGTTCATATCTAAAATAACTGTCTGTGTGCCTCCACAGCTCTTATGGGTCTTCAGCAGGACAACATCTCCCTCTAGTAGAAAATGGGAAGAAACCAGGGCCATCCCATAATATCACTGTCTCCGCCTTTGCTGAGTGCTACTTAGATACAGTTAAAGCTATAATGAAGCCCTACAGTTTAGTAGGCCTAATTAAAGAGTTTAACACCAAAATCTATAAAAACCTGCTGTAGTCGGTGGATCAAAGGGACATGAACAAGTCACATTATCTCTGAGGATCTTTAGCTCAAAAACCCCCGAAAGTTGATTCTGTTCATCTTGACAAAGTGTTTTCAGTGGGAGAAATGTTTCATCGCTCATCCAAGTGACTTCTTCAGTCTCAGCTGACCGCAGGTTTCTCCAACCTCGCACAATGACTGAAACCAGCCCACTGAATGAACAATGGGCTGTGAGGTCAGTTCCTTGGTCATTAATATGCAAATTGTCATGACCATTGAGCAACAACCACTGATCATAGCTCATTGATCAAAGCCCACTGATCAATGGCCATGAGTACCATTCACAGAGAGTTGGGGAATGTCTGCAATCACAGATGGTGACAGATGTATCCTTAGGCCCCCTCCTTGATTCAGAGATGGTCTTTCCCTTTTCACGTAAACGGCCTCCTTGACTCCGCGCTCAAACCAGCGTTCCTCCCTGTCCAGGATGTTACATCCTCATCATTGAAAGAGTGTCCACTGGCCTGTAGGTGCAAATAGACTGCAGCGTCCTGGCCTGATGAGGTGGCTCTTCTCTGTTGTGCCATCCGTTGTTTGGGTTCCCCGATGTATAAATCCTGGCAATCCTCCTGGCACTTGACAGCGTACACTATGTTACTCTGTTTGTGTCGGGGGACCTGATCCTGGGGGTGGACCAATTTTTGGCGCATCGTGTTTTGGGGTTTAAAAGCCACAGATACGCGATTTATAGAAAAATGCATCTCAACGGCTCCGATACTCCTGACACATAAGGCAGGGTTCCCTATGCCCGGGCTGGTCTGTGAGTCGTTTGGTACTGGGCCGCAAGAGTTGAGGCTTGGGTGTGAAATTTATGTTTTTCAAATCTTCTTTTTGGTACTGATTTTATTTTGTTGTATTTATCTGCGACACCTTAAAGGCCGCTCTGTGAAAATATTATCTTTAAAGTAGGTTGCTTAACCTTAAACTGGTTGTGTAGCCAGATTTACACTTTTATAAAGATGAATTTCCAGGAAATATCTAGTATAGATGTATAAGTCAGTCTCAGTATTATTTTTATTATTTCCTATGAAATAGTCTGTATTGAGCTCATGTCTTTGACAAGGAAAAGTAAATTAGGGCAGTAACACACCTGTCTGGGGTTCACTGTCATTGTAGGTGGAGATACTTCCACACACAGCTATTCTTCCACAGTTCTTCATCTGCTGCAGGACAATGAATGAAGAAGGGCCTCCCACCTAAAAATCAAAGATCGAGAGAAGAGCTCAGCAGTGATTAAATATTACATGCAAGCTTGAAACTGCACCACCACTGCTCACGTTCTCAAAGAAACAATCGTATCCTTCAGGTGAAGCCTTCCTCAGAGCCTCCTCCAGGGAACCCACAGTTTTGTAGTTGAAGGCCTCATCAAATCCCAGCTCTTTGAGGTAAGCCACTTTGGCATCAGAGCCTGCTGAGCCCACCACCTTACAGCCCTTGATCTTGGCGATCTGTCCCACCACGGAGCCCACCGCTCCAGCTGCAGCGTTCACCAGCAGGGTCTCACCCTCCTTTAGACCCAACACGTCTTCTATCCCATAAACAGCCGTCAGTCTGCAGAGAGACAGAAACAGTAAATCCAGCTGTTTTTCCTCAATTTTGAGCTTCATATAAACTCTAATTACATTCATCAAAGGGTCATTAGTAAGTGCATAGATGGTGACTTCAGCTCACCAGCAAGCCAAAACATTTGACTTACCCACTTACTTTCTTAAAAGAAGACTTTTTTCTGCCCATGATTCACTCTATTGTCTATTAGCATCAGTTTACACCTTAGAAATGCCATTCATCGTCATGATAATCATCAACCATGTCAGTTTCTTCCAAATTAATCATCCTAACCAGCATTTGTTAAGAAGGTTTATTGGACTCTTTTATGCAATGCTGATCACATATGAGAGTAAAACTCAGTGACTTCTTGAAACCTCCTTAAGCTGCTGTAAACAAAGTCTTACATCACTGACATGAATCCAATATGTTCTGTCTCAATGTGCATTTAAGATTCAGCTGATAAAACTTCACATCGATCTACCTGCTGGAAGAGTCAGAACATCCTGCCATGATTTAACATCCAATAGAAAATGACTTTGATCCATACAAGTTATCTGTCTTACCCGGGCATCCCGATGGCACCCAGAGCCAGAGACAGGGACACATCTTTAGGCCACTCGGACAGGATGGGAGTGAGGCCGGTCCCATCACTGAGCGTGTGGGTTCTCCACCCGCTGTCACTCACAACGTGGCTTCCCACAGGAAACGCTGGATTTTTACTCTGGATCACTCTAAAGGAAAACATTATTAGTAGTAGTCGTTGTCGTATTATACGAACAGGTAAACACTTACTTGGCCACTTGTTCTCCAATCATCACACCTCCTTCCTTCATGTGGATTTTGCTGAGCAGCCTGTCAACAGTGTTTTACAACAGATTCATATCAGCAGTGTTACTATGTAAAATATATTTTAAAATCCTCTATATTCTCTGCTCACCTCATGTACGGGTCAACACTGAGAAACACTGCTTCCAGAAGCACCTCTGCAAACAAAACTAAACTCATTTAAAGTGCTCGATGCTAAAAGCTTGACATAAAAAAAGAGCGTGAACTCCTTAAGCAAATAGAAATAATAAAGCTATCTTGCCTCCATCTTTGGGCTCAGGGAGCTCCTCCACCTTCAGCCCAAAGTCGCTTTTCTTTGGGAAGCCGTCAAAGTGCTGAGTCATTACCCATGACTTAGCTTTCACCATGATTCTTCTTTTTTTACGGCAGCTGTAAAGAAATATTGTTATTAAACTCATAGTAACAGACATTAAAATGCTGAGTATCCAGGTTAGAAATTCAAAAATCCTTTTCCTGCACACACACACATTTACACACAAGTGCTTTGAGAGTAAAAATATTACTGTATAAGTACTTCTCCATTCACCATTCAGTCTTTACAACTGCATCAGTGAACTGACACCTTGTGTCTCAATGTGATCACCTTTGTGATATTTGTGGAAAAGATTCATGTCTATAAGTCTGTTTTAAATGCTTTACATTTTATTACTTTTATAAAGAACTTAAACTGTGTAACAAACAGCAACAGCAATATGTGTAATTGTGCTCATAGTTCAGTCTGATTGTTTTGGAAACACTGAAAACGTTTCCGTACAAAGAGCCTGAAGATATGGAAAGACTCCAAGGCTTGTGGCCTCTAAGAGGACTGCTTTGAATCCTAATTTCAGAGACTCAGTAAACTTTTTTTAATTTAAGGTATTCAAATGCAGCATGTTGAATGATGGATTTATGCTTAACATGTGGTCTGACCTCCATCCAGCTGAATTATATTATTAACAAATAATTAAAAGTGAAACAACAAAACTTGAAAAATGTCACTTTATGTGCAATGAATGAGTAAAGTGGGAATAAGTCCATTCACCATTTACATAAAACAAGTTCAGATGTTACGACCACATCAGTGAACTGACACTTTACAGCGAATAAAAGCGAACGCCGTGGTGGAGCATCAACTATTTCATGGTCAGAGTGAGATAACATCGACCCCCTGCTGATGTTTGCTGCTCAGCCTCAGAGTTACCTCCTCCAGTAAAATCACGCTTGATGCAGTTCAGAAACAAACAGCTCTCTCTCCTCTGTGTGACTTACCGCTCGCCTTTCTTCACAGAGAAATGCTGGAAGCTGTGGAGCGAGAGTGGGTAGAAGTGAGCAGAGGCAGCTCTGCAGACGCTTAAGAGGAGAAAGGAGTGGGAGACGTGCTTTTAATGTTCAATCTTATTGGCCGAAGGTTTAGCACACCATCTGAGGTGTGACAGAGGGCACGCTACCAATAAGGTTAAAGACCAAAATCCAGCTTTCTTTGTTGCTTTACAGATGTTTTTCCCCAAAATTTAAAAACAATATCACTTTAAACCTCTGAGTTCCTCACAGTCTCAGTGTGAGGAACTCAGAGGTTTAAAGTGTAAACCATCATTTCTACATATAGATGCAAACTAATAAGTTCACGTGAGACATTTGTAGATTGATCATAATACTTGTATCTTTTCTATCTTTATATACATTTTTTCCCTCATTGAAAATAAAAAGTTGTTTTTACTCTGCATCACTCTGCAGGAAAACAACATAAAATAAGCATTCGTCAACCGAGTGTTGTGATTTCAGGTTGCGTGTTCACTTCAATACTTCACTAGTACTGCAGGCTAAACTCACATACATGTTTCTGCGTCTTGGTCATCAAATATTCCTCTCCCTTTTTGTCACAGAGAGACTCCACTCACACCTGCCAGGGAGACCGAACAGCCAGTGTGTGTTGTTAAGTTTGTGCACAGACAAGGAGACAGACGTGTTTGAGATAATGTTGGATATTTAACCATAATGCTCTTTCAGCAATTTCTTTTTCACTGAGTCTACTGGCACAAAGATATCTGGCCAAAAACAACTGCCTGTTGTCATAAATATGGATTAAAATAACACTTAAAGGTCAAAATCTGAGGAGCGATTAAAAAGAGAACTTGTAAATAATGTGCAAAGTGAAATCACAGTATTTTTTTGCTTTAATTGCTGATTTATAGGTAATATGACTTTACTGTGCATGTACTATCCCAGGACATGGTACATGTACTCAAAAATGCCACTAGGTGGCGTATAGCACTCAGGAGGAATGTAAACCCCTCTACAGTTCAGCTGTAAACAAACTCAGGTTCCTTTTACTTTAATAGTCATTTGCAAGGTTTAGGACCACACCCCTTTCTCACACCCACCAGGTCGGGGTGTGTCGGAAATATTTTTAATAACACGGTTACTTCATTGTCCTGCGGGGCTCCTCCCTAAGTGCAAACTGAGCAAGCAACAGGTGCCTAACCTGCACGTTTGCATGTCACGTCTGTGCCATTGTGCAGCTGCTTGGCCCATAGTCGCTCAAAGGAGGCGTGTGCATCAAACACATCTTATGTCACATCCCTGTGGTTTTTCTGCTTTGTCAGTGGTCAGTGGCCGCATCAGTAAGGTGCTTGAACTCAACGTGAACACCGGGCATCCTCTGATGTTTCAGTGTGACGACCGCTACACCCTGGTGGGAGCTCCACTTTCCCCACCTGCCAACATGAGGAAAATAAACTCTTGTGCAGCAGCTTGTCTACATTCTCAAAAATCCCTTTTACAACAGGAAGACAAACACACCCTCAAAACTCTTTGCATCATTATTGAGTTCCTTAATCAGTTTCACAACACTTGTCGTGACAAGAAGTCACCCACTCAGCTGCTCTTAACCTGCAGTCTGAGTTTGGTGAAATGTGCTGGTTTTTGAGTTGTATCAGGAGTGACCTGCATCTTAGAGCCGAGAAGCATTACCACATACGGTACAGATAAGGATATGTTTTAATGCTATATCTCTGAAACATATCAGTGATGCAAACCAGAGCTGCAAGTAACTTGTACTGTAAGTCACTGAATAGTTAAATGATGTCAAAAGGATTGATTGTTCTCCATCTTCTGATTCTGGTTTCAAGTAGCAATAATCTATATTAACTTGCTGTTCAAAATCCAAGTTACACAAGGACAAGAAAAATGAAACACACAGGCCTTTTAAACCTCGGGGTAAAAGCAGACGACAAAATTTGGGGTATAAAAACCAGCACAGAGCAGTGGAAGAAAGATCTCGCTATACTTACTTACTAAGATTTTGGGTGAATTGATACCTGTGTGTTTCAGGTAGTCAACGTAAAAGGAAGTTCCACTAACTCTTATTTTTCTCTGTATCATGAACTGTGTGAATACTTTCTGTAGACTGGATCCAGGAACAACCTCACCCTTAAACAAGAAAAACAACTTCCAATGATTCAGCAGTTTCACATACCTGAGTAACAGCCTGAGGTGCACTTATCTCATTGTTTTGTTAACTAGGCAAAAATACTCCAAGCGATATTATTTTAAGACATTTTGTTAAAATATTTGTTATATGTTAAAACATCTGGTATTTAAAAAATCAGCTATGCAAGACTTTAGTAGTTTTATTCAGGGTTTAAGAACCTGATTCTTTACTCTTTATTCTGACTCCCACCAGTTTTATGCGAGTCATTCTAAAAATAGTTTACTGCTATACATAAAATAAAGAAAAGGGTTAAAAGGGTTAAAAATCAATAGAAAGGTCACATTTGAAAGAAAAACATGAAGACAATTATATCAGCCTGAAATCAGGTTCCTGTTGATCACATTTATTTTATAATAAGATGAGATGTTGCATTTATCAGACTAACACAGAGGACTTCAGAGCTGCTCTTTAAATTATTACCAATTGGACAAATACGTGTTTATCTGTCTGTCTGGTGCATGTTGGACTCGTTCTTATCTGTACACAAGTACAGATACTTAAGCAGAAGTCAAAACATGGATTGGGCTCCACACTGAGTCCCTGTGTGCAGTCTGAAACTCAAATGACCGTTCAGATGTTTTACATATGAGATATTAAAATCTTAGGCTGGATCCAGGCAAAGTTTCCCTGAACAGTGGTTGTGTTTGTGCTCTTTCCTGCCTCCCTGCACACACTGTTGCTGTCCTGATGTGTTTGTGCTGACTTTGTTTGTGTGTGTGAGGTTAAATGGCCCAAAGCTGCTGCAGACCTCGTTCTCAAGACTCATGTTTTCCTATTTCACTGAATTTCTGTTGAGTATCTTCATCACTGTATAGCTGCACGTCTGATTGTGTAAGACACACTTAGAGTAGAGACTATCTGTGTGTTACACAAAGCATTTCTCAAATCTTAATTTGATATTTATTGTGTGTGTGCAGGTGTGTCTGTGTGTGTCCTCTTCTTCACTTGTGTTCAAACAAAGGCTCACTGACACAAAACAAAAGCCGGTTTTAACCACTGGTTTCATTGGCATTGTACCAGTACCTAATCAAAAACCGGTTCATGCATTTGAAAAAAGACATAAATGCTGGTGTTCGAAAGCACAGTAACAACAACCTGTTGGTGTAAAGTGGGAATAAGTGAGTTCGGTGGCTGTAGGAGTGTCTAACACAAGAAATTCTCACTTGCAGTTCTCAGATGTCGCCCAACTTCCTATGCAAATTGCCCAAACCTTTGCTGCATAATGCTACGTGGCATCCGGTTGTTTGCTGGTTTTCACACTGCTCCATGGTGTGCTGGTGAAAAAGACTGAAAGATAAATTTAATGAGTAAGAGTAAGGCTGATCAGCTGGATTGTCATGAAGTTCTGTGCAGATGTTTTCCACAGTAACTGCTCTGGAAATGTTTTCATGGGTGGTGGCCGTTATTCAGCCAATCTCAGCTGCTGTGCTCCCTCGACAGGTCACCAATCTATGACAGGGCTGTGGAAATCATGTATGCAGTATAATCACTGGATCACTGACTTCCTGACGGACAGGAAGCAGCATGTGAGGCTGGGAAAGAATGTCTCGGACTCCCGGACCATCAGCACCGGCTCCCCTCAGGGCTGTGTTCTTTCTCCTCTGCTCTTCTCCCTGTACACCAACTGCTGCACCTCCACCCACCACTCTGTCAAGCTAATCAAGTTTGCAGATGACACCACCGTTATTGGACTCATCTCGGACGGGGATGAGTCTGCCTACAGGAGGGAGGTTGAACGTCTGGTGTCCTGGTGCAGCCACAACAACCTGGTGCTGAATGCCCAGAAGACAGTGGAGATTATTGTGGACTTCAGGAAGCACACAGCCCCACTCCCCCCCATCATCCTGACTGACACCCCCATCACCTCTGTGGACTCATTCCGCTTCCTGGGTACCACCATCACCCAGGACCTGAAGTGGGAGCCCACCATCACCTCCGTCATTAAGAAAGCCCAGCAGAGGATGTACTTCCTGAGGCAGCTGAAGAAATTCAACCTGCCAACACGGACGATGATGCAATTCTACACTGCAATCATCGAGTCCATCCTCACCTCCTCCATCACCGTGTGGTACGCTGGAGCCACTATCAGGGACAAACAGAGACTGCAGCGTGTTGTGCGCTCTGCTGAGAAGGTGATTGGCTGCAGACTCCCATCTCTGCAGGACCTGTACACCTCCAGGACACTGCGGCGTGCAGCCTGGATCTCAGCTGACCCTTCTCACCCTGGACACAGTCTGTTTGACCTGCTCCCCTCAGGCAGGAGGCTCCGGTCCATTCGCACCAGAACCTCTCGCCACAAGAACAGTTTCTTCCCCTCTGCTGTTGGACACATGAACAATAACCATATGACTGTCCCCGCCACTAACACATGACCCTACGCTGTGTCACTGCATCATTCCATGTTTGGCACTGATCACCACCTGCACTCATGTATATATCTATCTACTGGACTTCTTATCTCAGCTCGTGTACTTTTTTAAGTAGTGTAGCTTCATCAGCTCCGGAGAACTCGTGGAGCTGAAAGACAAGGATAGAGGGTTAAAAATGTCATAAAAAGCCCCAAAACTAAACATAATTTTCCATTTATCTTAGATAAAATGTAAAATAGGAGACAATAAGCTTCACACAACCTAAACCCTTATTTATGAGAGATATTTAACTCAATTTGTTTAATCCTGAGACCACTGAGTGAAAGTCTGGCTTCGATCACAGGCGCCTCCTCAAGCTGGTGTTTAATGTCGAGAGCTCGCCTCTATTTGTCAGAAAGGTTCATTCCTTTGTTGTCGTTAGAAAATATTAAGTGACTCATGTATGACGTGCCTTTAGAGCATTACTGTGCAAGATTAGGAAGGAATCCTTCAAGCAACATAAGATTTGAGGCCTTTCTCCGGCAGGTGAATGCCAAACACTATATTAAAGATCACTTCTATGTGTCACTTGAAAACAATTTTGAGATTTTGAGAATGATCATTATTGCACGAGGCTCAATGTGTCCAAAAATCTATTACACGCCAAACATCTGCACCAAGCTGACAGGTACACGTAGCATTTTGACTTACCTTTTGGCCATTCTTGTAAAACTGGAACGTGGGCATGGATCTGATTCCACAGGATGAGGACACATCCTGAAAGAGAAGCAAATACATCAGATGAGCTCACTGGGTCATCAAGATCTCTCTTGTCTACAGATGGTTATGACCAACTGTAGCTGTAGATGTGGCGAGAGGCCAATTAAGAAGAAGCCATTAAGCATATCGTGACTAAGACGGGCTTCTTCAGCTACCCAAGATCATACTCTCCAACACTTCAGTGTTGCCTCTTTCCCACAGCACAGGAATTAATCTTTATGCAATTTATTTGATTCTTTCTGCACTCTCATTTGTCACGCCAGCCGGCTGTGGATCCTTATACATGGCTCGCAATGAGCAGCCAACACCACAGCTCAGAACTGCAAAGCCACTCAAACAAGTCCTTTCATAATTCTCCCAATAAATAAAAGAGGTTACTTTACAATTTGTGCACAGCCCTGTGATGTGCTCACATGTGCCTCTGATTCTGGTGTGAGAGTGGAGAAAATTCCATAAAATGCTGCAAAAACCACAAACATGTTTGACAGCAATTTTTACAACTGTACAGACATGTCGAGGATCTCTGTGCTAGCACAGGCCTGGCAGCAGCTGAAGTAATCCAACTGCTTCTGCGGGCTCATCAGGAAGTAAGTCAAACTCAGACTTACATGGGCAGCATCCACGTCCACCTTCAGGAAAATCACGTCGTCATATTGAGGCGCCGCAGCCATTTTCTGCAGGAGAGAAGATCAGTGAGTCAACATGCAAACTTGTACAGTTCATCTGCTGCCACGTCACACTTATGAAGGATCAAAAGGGGAAACATCTAAAATAAAAGTCTGAATTTGTTCTCTTGTGCCATAAAAGTTGTGGGTTGTTTTTCATCTTAATAGTAATTTCTTAATGTGTCAAATCTAACTTATAGTTGAAAAAAAATTCACAACGTAACTTATTGAAGAAATGCCATCTTTAGCATTGCTGAGGTTATTGGCGCAAAGGGGTCAAAATGATGCTAAGAGTGGGGACAGTCGACTCTGGGACTAGAGCATCAGTACCATAGTGTCTCCTCTGGCTCATGAGCCATCCCAATATACAGGTTATTGTAATGTGTGAGGGACAGAAATAAAGAGATTCTCATCAATTGTGGAAGCACAGATCGACATGCAGATGCAAGAGTTCGGAGTCGTTTTAGTTTTGACAGCATGTACCTCATACACTGGGGCAATCCTTTGGCAGGGGCCACACCAAGTGGCTGTGAAGTCCACCACCACCAGCTTGTTTCCAGCTTCCTTCAGGATGTTATTGAACTCTACCTGGAGAGAAATCAAAAACCAACAACATAGTTTGAAATAGATTTGAATCTTATAATTAACCTGACAACAAAAAATAGAGGTCAGTGTTTCACATTAAAATACAGATTGTTACAGCGTTGTTGTCCACTTTTCACTGATCGCTGCCTGCGGCTGTATTTACGCACAGAGGATTTCAGCCCAACACATCCTCCAGAAAGATTTCGCTTTCAGTTTGCCTAACTTGAGTTTTAGTATGACACGTCTACACTGCTCGTTAAGATTTACACCAAACCGGGATATACCAGAGGTTCCCCATGCTCAAAAAAGCCTTTAGAGACTGCATGTAAGTGTTTGCTTAAAATTTACGCAGATCAGTACGAGCTCATTTTACCCCCAAAAGTAGTTTTCTGCGTCTTCATGGTGCATTTTTTTTCTCTTCGTCACAGAAATTGATGTTGATGCTGATCTTCTTGAGGTTTCTCCACTGTTCCTCAAGTCTAAATGTTTCCACGCTCAGTTTCCCCTTTCACAAAATGAAACTTTCAGATGTGGTGGTCGTTTGAGGCTATGAACTCATTTGAAATGACGTTTAATTCTTATTCTTATTTTTATTTTCATGTCTATTTAAGCGTAATTTATGACAGTATGTTTGCACTGAAGCACCGCAGCAATTTCCTAATGTTGTAAACCTGCTCAACATTTGGCAATAAAACCCTTTCTGATTCTGATTCTGATCATCGAGACAATTCAACTTTGTCATTTAACAGCTCCATCAGTCTCAGCTCCAGTCCATTTAGGGTTGATTAGCATGCTAACATGCATGTATACAAATGCACATGCAAAATGAGGTGTTATTTTTAATGAAATTATTGTAAAAATTCAGTCAAAGCATTTGACATGAGATGAAAAGAGATTGTGACGCTTGAAGTTTGTGTACAGTCGTTTTGGTTGCAGTTTTTAAACAGGACTTAAATGTGTTTTTCAGCTCTGAGGACTTTTTGTGAAATGAAGCTGTACTTGTACAACGCGTCAAAGCTGCTGCTGTGATGGCCCATTGCACATGTGTAAACTACTCTCCCATTTTTATTGAAGCATAAAATACCATCAAGTCTCTTGATTTGATGTAATCCATTTATTGTATGTACTTTGTTGAACACAAAACATACAAAGCAGTTTGGGATCAAAGTCAAACTTTCAGAAAAACAAAGTTAAAAGTTATCAGCATCATATTTTGTTAAGACAGGAAAGCTATGTCAATATTAAAGGATATGTAGATATATTATTGCCTGTGAAAGATAGACTTCATGCTCATGAATCATGTACAGATCGTAATGTGAGGCATTTTTATTTTTTGCAACATGGCCGTGTGTTGACTGGACTTCTTATCTCAGCTCTTCTACTTTTTTAAGTAGAAGAGCTTCATCAGCTCCGGAGAACTCGTGGAGCTGAAAGACAAGGATAGAGGGTTAAAAATGTCATAAAAAGCCCCAAAACTAAACATAATTTTCCATTTATCTTAGATAAAATGTAAAATAGGAGACAATAAGCTTCACACAACCTAAACCCTTATTTATGAGAGATATTTAACTCAATTTGTTTAATCCTGAGACCACTGAGTGAAAGTCTGGCTTCGATCACAGGCGCCTCCTCAAGCTGGTGTTTAATGTCGCGAGCTCGCCTCTATTTGTCAGAAAGGTTCATTGCTTTGTTGTCGTTAGAAAATATTAAGTGACTCATGTATGACGTGCCTTTAGAGCATTACTGTGCAAGATTAGGAAGGAATCCTTCAAGCAACATAAGATTTGAGGCCTTTCTCCGGCAGGTGAATGCCAAACACTATATTAAAGATCACTTCTATGTGTCACTTGAAAACAATTTTGAGCACGAGGCTCAATGTGTCCAAAAATCTATTACACGCCAAACATCTGCACCAAGCTGACAGGTACACGTAGCATTTTGACTTACCTTTTGGCCATTCTTGTAAAACTGGAACGTGGGCATGGATCTGATTCCACAGGATGAGGACACATCCTGAAAGAGAAGCAAATACATCAGATGAGCTCACTGGGTCATCAAGATCTCTCTTGACTACAGATGGTTATGACCAACTGTAGCTGTAGATGTGGCGAGAGGCCAATTAAGAAGAAGCCATTAAGCATAGCGTGACTAAGACGGGCTTCTTCAGCTACCCAAGATCATACTCTCCAACACTTCAGTGTTGCCTCTTTCCCACAGCACAGAAATGAATCTTTATGCAATTTATTTGATTCTTCCTGCACTCTCATTTGTCGTGTGATGTTCCATAAAATGCTGCAAAAACCACAGACATGTTTGACAGCAATTTTTACAACTGTACAGACATGTCGAGGATCTCTGTGCTAGCACAGGCCTGGCAGCAGCTGAAGTAATCCAACTGCTTCTGCGGGCTCATCAGGAAGTAAGTCAAACTCAGACTTACACGGGCAGCATCCACGTCCACCTTCAGGAAAATCACGTTGGCATTTTCAGGCGCCGCAGCCATTTTCTGCAGGAGAGAAGATCAGTGAGTCAACATGCAAACTTGTGCAGTTCATCTGCTGCCACGTCACACTTATGAAGGATCAAAAGGGGAAACATCTAAAATAAAAGTCTGAATTTGTTCTCTTGTGCCATAAAAGTTGTGGGTTGTTTTTCATCTTAATAGTAATTTCTTAATGTGTCAAATCTAACTTATAGTTGAAAAAAAATTCACAACGTAACTTATTGAAGAAATGCCATCTTTAGCATTGCTGAGGTTATTGGCGCAAAGGGGTCAAAATGATGCTAAGAGTGGGGACAGTCGACTCTGGGACTAGAGCATCAGTACCATAGTGTCTCCTCTGGCTCATGAGCCATCCCAATATACAGGTTATTGTAATGTGTGAGGGACAGAAATAAAGAGATTCTCATCAATTGTGGAAGCACAGATCGACATGCAGATGCAAGAGTTCGGAGTCGTTTTAGTTTTGACAGCATGTACCTCATACACTGGGGCAATCCTTTGGCAGGGGCCACACCAAGTGGCTGTGAAGTCCACCACCACCAGCTTGTTTCCAGCTTCCTTCAGGATGTTATTGAACTCTACCTGGAGAGAAATCAAAAACCAACAACATAGTTTGAAATAGATTTGAATCTTATAATTAACCTGACAACAAAAAATAGAGGTCAGTGTTTCACATTAAAATACAGATTGTTACAGCGTTGTTGTCCACTTTTCACTGATCGCTGCCTGCGGCTGTATTTACGCACAGAGGATTTCAGCCCAACGCTTCCTCCAGAAAGATTTCGCTTTCAGTTTGCCTAACTTGAGTTTTAGTATGACACGTCTACACTGCTCGTTAAGATTTACACCAAACCGGGATATACCAGAGGTTCCCCATGCTCAAAAAAGCCTTTAGAGACTGCATGTAAGTGTTTGCTTAAAATTTACGCAGATCAGTACGAGCTCATTTTACCCCCAAAAGTAGTTTTCTGCGTCTTCATGGTGCATTTTTTTTTCTCTTCGTCACAGAAATTGATGTTGATGCTGATTTTCTTGAGGTTTCTCCACTGTTCCTCAAGTCTAAATGTTTCCACGCTCAGTTTCCCCTTTCACAAAATGAAAATTTCAGATGTGGTGGTCGTTTGAGGCTATGAACTCATTTGAAATGACGTTTATTTCCACACAAATGCAATACAATCAACCCATAACTACAATTAGCTTTGGAAAGCTTGTTTAAGGTGCGTTTCTCTAAAAATCTACGTACATACCCAAAACTGTTTTTACGCTTGTGGCACAGCTGCTCCGCTATAAAACCATAGTGCGAAAAACATCCATTAATGTGTTACAAACGGACAGAGGCACAAAAAGAAGAGCAAACAAGACACACTTACCAGATTCTTCACTTGACGAACCATGATTACTGTTGACGAATGTTTCCAAGACACAACAACAAACCTCCAAGTTTGGAAATGACCTGCGATCAGCACACGCCCCACGCTTTTAAACACTCTGCGTAAAGTTAGCCATCAGCAGTCGAAGCGGAAGTCTCTGCATTTGGTTTACACAATAAAAATTTTTAATGAGCTGAACCGTAAATACATTGATTTTTTTTTATACCGCCTTTCTACTCAGCCGAGAACTCCAAGCGCTTTCTGCAGGTCATTCAGCCAGTTTCACACACACACACACACACACACTCATACACTCTTATGAGACCAGGACTCATAGAAACGAGGTGTAGGAACACAGACTCTCCTGGAGTCATCCACTGACAGAGACCGTCAGCAGCCTGTGTAACCATGGAGCTGACCCTCACCACAGCTTTCTGATAAAAGGCTGAAACTCGTAGAAAATGTTAACAGTGTTTGCGCTCTTATATCTGGAGCACTTCAACCCCCTCGACCAGGCAGGTCCTTAAAAGCAGCAGATATAATTATTTTATTCACATCAGATTCATGTCTAAAATAACTGTGCACCTCCGCAGCGCGTAGAGATCTCCAGCAGTGCAACATCTCCCTCTAGTGGAAAATATGTTAATACACAAGAAGCTGTTGTTCACGGTACTGGTGAGACACTCACACATTTAAATCATTGAATTTCGGGGTTCCAATCACTTTCATGGCCACAGGGGTATAAAATCGAGCACATAGGCTTGCAGACTGCTTCTACAAACATTTGTGAAGGAATGAGTCGCTCTCAGGAGCTCAGTGATAGGATGTCACCTGTGCAACAAGTTCAGCAGTGAAATTTCCTCTGTTGCTGTAGAAATAGCCTACAGGTTGTGTAGAAGTTCATGGAAAAACAGCTCCATCGAGCTGATGACTTTAGGGGCTCAATCACTAGTTTCAGGTTCCACTCAAGGGTTCAACATCCCCACCTGGGATTTGACAGACGGGGACTTGCATAATCATTTGCAACTGCCAGCAGCATTAGCTTTATTTTATTTGTGATCAGTTGCTGATTCTGAGGTTTCATCCCTTTTGTGGGTTTAAACAGCCACATTCTACAGATGGTAAACCAACCATCATGGCTGCTTGCTCACCAATGGCAAGTATAAATCTAGCGTAAAGACAAAGTTTGGCAAGTGTTATTAAAGAAG